CCGAAACATCAATGCATCTATTGTTCTCGGTTATTCTACGGGGAATGAGGTTAACAGTACTGTCTCGCCCGTCGCGTTACCGTGGATCGTGTAGGTGGGTAAAACAATTTGAGCAGTAGTCGAGTCGTCGAAAAGGTACAACTGTTTTGCACGAGCAGCGATGAATCTTGGACCCGATTTGTGGGGGGATGCCGATTTACGGGAATGACGCCAGTGCACTGGCGCTATTGTGATGCCAATATGTTGTGATACATTCCGTGCACTCAGTGCACGGAATGTATCACAACATTCCTCACACTGCGCCTGTCCCCCACATTCCGTGCACTCAGTGCACGAGATGTGGGGACAAATCTGTATACTATTTGTGAAGGTAACTAATTCAGCGATACTTGATGCTATCGGAGATGTCGCAGCATTGAGTATTCGGCGAACTGTGAATCGCAGATCAGCTAGAACTGTGTGGTATCGAAGCGTCGTGAGCCGGTTGAGATGGCCGGAGATGCAAATACAGATATAGAGATAACATGGTTGACTTACAATTTACGGCATGCAAAAGAGGTACGATAATAAGCAAACAGGAACAGAACACAAAGCGCTGTTTGAAGTTACCACGGGCTCATGAGCACACCGTATCATAAAAGTTCGGGCTCGTTCTGTGGACTATGCATTCCAGCCTATTATCAATCCTTACTGCATATGTATGAAAGTGATACCGAGATGTTTTGTGACCATTCAGCAACTGACAAAGGGAGCTTAGCCCCCCCCCCCCCTCCCCCAGCCGGCGGTGCGTTTGCACTCAAGCGTTTGTTTTTGCCGAGCGGACTCGGCGTTGGAAGCTGGGGTTTAGCCTTATGACCTACTAGAGGCTTAAGAGTCAGTCCCTGTGCGCAGAGATAGGTGTGTATGCACATATGCGCGCAGAGATAGGTGTGTGTGCACATAGAAGCAACGGGGATGGGTCCCACCGTACCAAATGCATGGCATGCGGTGTGCACATGACTTAATGTTGACGATGAAACGTTCCTGGTAGGCATGCAAGTTAGAAATGTTATTATACGGCACATAAGAAGCTCAGCACGCCTGCGGTGCCCTGAACTCGGTATTCAGGTACAAATGTTGAATCATGCCTCGCCCCAATTTATGAAATGCCCTATACGCCCTTTGCATGGACATGTCCTGTTTCCTTTTGAAGGGAACGCGACGCGCATCGTCCCGGACCCTTTTTATATAGCACCAGAGACTGCAGAGACCATATTGGTGCTCAGGGGCCATGGCGCAACCGGGGTTCGAACCCCACGAACTTCTCAATGGATTCGTCGTCACCGGAGGCAATCTGGCCCAACGCCAACAGATCCCAGGATAAAAGGACACATCCCACTTACGATTGAGTGTGGCTCGCGTGACGTCACGTTTGTGCGGAGCGATGCATCTGAGCTGACCTTCCAGCTGGATTCATCGTATTTTTACGCGGCTTCGACGGTTGAATTGCACTATTTCTTACCTGTCTTATCTTGCATGCGGTGGCGTTTGGCGGTTTGCTGGGGAAAGGGAGATTTGGCATTCACTGGTGAGGATTCTCTCCTCCCCCCCCCCCATCCCAGTTAAGATACTTAAGTTATCCCTGCAGCGACCCCAACTGTACCCGCCGCCGGCTTGAACGGCTGTGAATGGGGGAGGGGACGTATTTGGTGAGTGGGATGGGGAGTTGGTTGAGTATGAGAACCTTTTTCTCACACTTGATGCGCTAAAAAAAAGCCTGCAGTCAGGCGCGCACCCAGAGCCTCGGCAGGGGGGGGGGGGACATAGGGCTGTGAAAGGGCCCCCTGATAGTGAAGATTCCCTCCCAAAAAAAATTATGGATGTGGTCAATTTTTATAGGAGCGTGTACTTCTTTGGCATGCTTTTAATTGTTTTCGTTGTACAACCTAAGTGGAAGCCAGAAGCTACCGCCACATGAATTTTGCCTGAATTTTATAATCTATAAACTGAAGAAGTCGTGCGCCAAATGCCAGCATTTAATAAATCACTGGCGCTCTCCAATCTACAATGATCAAGTGATCTTGTTTTAAATCGATTAAGCTCAAAAGCTTCGTCAGCAATTTTGCATGGGTTCTCCAGAGATATTAGGGACCCCGCAAATGCAAATCGTAGATCGCAATGGGTCAACAACTTTTATTAGCATGGCCAAGCCATTGTTTGTCTGGAAATGATCAGCATTCAGTAGGAATCAATTAGCGACACAAATCATGTAACGTAGTTTCGAACACGTCCGCTCGTGAATCTTGGTAACAAAAACCTCGACGCCGGGCGATGCAGTCTCCGAAGGACGCGCAGCGTCAGTCCCGCGGCTAATACTAAGCCGTGGCCAACGGGCGGACAAGAAGGATGGCGCATCTGAAAAAGTATCTCTGAACGTTTAAGGATATCGTTTCGTGCCTTCAGAAGGTAGTCCTGGTGTAGATTTCACGCGTGCGATTTTTAGATCGACGATAAAAACGGATTGGTCTTTACAGCACCGCGAAGTGGTGCTGAAATCAGATGATAGAACTAGAAGAGTAAGTAGAATCTCTATTTTTCGTGCCTCTGCAACTGTTTATCCTGTCCAGAAGACAACAAAGCTGAGAAAGATACGCCCAGTCTAACATTTAAAAGGTGCGAATCAATTGTGAAAGATATTCGAAACCATTACTTCACGACGGTCGCTCCCGCGCGCACGACGCCCGCTGTCTAGTGCTATTTACAATGACCAACGTCGTTCGCTTTTTGGAAATCGAAACTCAGCCCATTGTTGTCCTTGCTCCCGAGGATTTCGGTGCGCAAGCTCAAGCCTTTTGATACAATGCGTTTTGCTAATCGATTTCGCAAAAGGAAGAACGTTCTCATGCAAAAATGCATGGTCTTGTTAGCGTTTATCTAATATCGATCCACTCTTCACAACACCAATCATGTCTCCTGTTTCTTCCCGGGTAAGGTTCCCCTTGAGAAGAGCACTAGTGGTCACATATTGTTCCCGGTCAAGGACTGAAAGGCTATTCCGTGAGGTGTCTTTCGTCATTGTCATTCCTTTCCCGCGCGAGGTGTCTTCCGGCTGCCGTTTAAGCAACACGGGGCGGGATTCCCTGACCGATCCGGGGGCCCTCAGGGGGGATATAGCATATCATGTTGGCTCCCTCGCTTAAGCGGGAGCCCTTCTGACCCGCGCGGTTGGCCCCAAATCGACGCGGGGTCCCTCATTGACACAACATCCCTGATCTCGCAGATGGTTCAATAATTGGCACACAGACTCCAGTTTGGCCTAACGGTCCATGCTGGACCTGGTTTGGCGGGCCCACTGCGCGGCACTGGGACCCTGAATGGCACAGGAGTCTTCCATTGTCTTAATGTGAATGCTCATTATATGTTTGCATGTTTCCTTTCATCGTCAGAGGGTCCCGACGAATACAAGAGGCCCTCTGTCATTCGGGGTCCCGTCTCCATCCTTGCTGAGCATATGTCCCGCTGACCGACTCGGGGCCACATGCCGCCGCAGGACCCTCGTTAGACGCTGTGGCCCCTGACTGACACAGGGTCTTTGATCTTTGGTTCCGAACCCCTGCAAACACCGCTAGAGGCAACTCGGGCCATTTACCAACACAAAATTCCCTGTTAGACACTGTAGGCACCTGACCCACACCCTCATGGTTTCAGTGGCCCCAACTTTATGCAAATCACAGGCTCAGTCTTGCTCTTGCTTGAGAAATAGGCCCCAGGGCTAAGACCGACACGTGGCTGCTGTTCGGCGTTGGTCGTCTCTGGCCAAAGTAGAGGCTCGCACTGTCCCAGGGGCTCCCAACCGATGCAAGTGACCCTTTGACCGACATTTGAGGCAATGTGACGGGCGCTACTTAATGCGAACTACAGCCAGTCAGCCCCTCTTTGGACCTCCTCAAACAAAGCCCATGATCGACTCTGAACCATTAGCCGACACATGACTCCCTATTGGGCACTTTGCCCCCCCCCCCCCTCCCCCCTAAGGTGCCGGTAGTGTAGTGGTTAACGCGTCTGCATCAACTACTGCACGCCTGGGAAACCGGAGGTACGGGGTTCGATTCCCCGCGGTGCCCGCCCTTCTTGCCAGGGTAAGAGGCGGCCGAAGGCATATAGCCTCAGCAGCTGAGTGTGTTGTAAAGCCCCAATAACATGACATGGATTTGGGCCCCTGACCGACACAGTGACCTCAACCACTGTTTCAGGAACCTAAGCCAATGCAAATTCCCCCCCCCCCAGCCTTGCTACTGCTTGGGAAACGGGCCCGCAGAGTGATTGACTGGGAGCCAACTGCTCGGTGTTCAGGGTCTCAGCTGACCGACACACCCGCATTGTCTCAGGCGTCCCCAAACGATGTAAGAAAAGTTCTGACTGATATTGCGGGCCATGACCCTACGGGCTGCGAATCCTTATGTAACCTACAGCCAGTCCTTCGGGCCCTTACGCCATCCAACCAAACCCTTGATTGGCAGTTCCGGTTGGCCACCCGGGCCACGGACACTGTGCCCCCCCCCCCTGTCCACGTTAATGTCTGCGACGTAGATGCAGCAACAATGGGGTCGCACGCTTGCCACAACCAGGTGCTGGCTGGGCAATGCCACATGCCTAGCCACAGCCATTACCCATTATTCATTGGGTCAGCCCTCATCTGTGGTGGGTAATTCCTGCCACATTGATACCTAAAAGGCAAATACTGGCTATGATGTTGTTAGAATAGATTTTACATCTGCTTTTGCGAGCGTTTATCCTGGTCTCTTATTTATCAGATTATTGCATTTGAGATTAAGTAAGCAGTAAAATGCTGCCCTTGCCCTTGCCTTGCCCTTGCCAGAAAGTTCCAAAAACCTAATTTAGTATTGGAGATTTGAGAATAACCTTGAAGGGATACATAAATGGTGCTTTACAGACTATAGTAGCGCATTTACATCTGTTTACTCAAAGCATGCAGGGATAAGGCTGCCTGCGATGCAACATTCCGGTCAGATTTGTTTTACTTGTGATGCAAGGATAGGATGAATTCCCTGTATGGATCCCCCTTATTATCGGCATGGTCGTTTTTAGTTGGCTGTGTAGTTTTTATGACAGGATTTTTTCCTACACCAAGAACCATTGGACATGTCAAGCCGGTTTGGAACCAAAGGTAAGTGAGAAAGAGATGATTACCTATTGTGTGTCAGAATTTAGAATCGGGAACGTACTGGGTGATGCAATGAATCAGTTGGTGATATTGGATCATAGGCATGAATCAGCCTATGTGTGTGCCTTTAAGTGTTTGGATTTATGTTGTCCATGAACTGAAATAGTTGGGGCAATGTTGCTGCTATGCATGCGATGTTCAGTAGAATATGCATTTTTTACAGTTTTGTATCCAAGGGAGATATTTATTGTCCTAAAATATTTATTGCTTAATGTGTGAGTCCAAAATGACATGAACTGTGCGACTGTGCAAGTAAGCTATGCGTGTAGGTGAAGTTAGCTGATCACAATGTGTGACCTCAGCTCTGGGCGTCACATCATCAAGCACAGCCTGGCTGACAGCCACATTATCTAAGGAGCATGCCAGTAATCCTGAAATACTTAGTGCTCAAAACTGTTTTCAAAATTAGGCTGCCAAGCTCTATTTTAATTTTGAGTGCAATAACTTGGCTGCCTATGGCTGCTGAGCAGATGTAACTGTTGACTGTCGATTTGGCTGCATGATAATTTCTGTGAAAGACTTGACCCACCCCAAGGGATATTGCAGGTTTCAGGATGTAAAAATCAGCAGCAAGGTAGGTTAACCATATGTTATCAGTTTTCCCCAAAAGCATTCTTGATGCATAAATATTTCTCTAAAAGTTTCAGCTTAGCATGGATCCTAGTTGAGATAAATATATACTAACAGACATGTTAGTTTGTCTAGGAGGTTTTTTGTGCTTGTGCAAGTGCCACACTGATAAAAGGCCTGCATGTTTTATCCTTAAATCATTTATTCTGTATAATGAGTTGGTGAACATTTTTGTTTGCAGCACAGACTCTTCTGGGTCCTCACACAGGATGGCCTGGATGGTAATTGATGCACTGAGGTCAGATTTCACTGTGAACAGAGAGTCAGTGCCATTTCTAGCCAAGATGGAGGCAATGGGGCATTTGAGAACATATGTGGCACTGGCACAACCACCAACTGTGACTCTTCCCAGAGTGAAGGTAAGAATAGCAGTGTTATCCTGCCCATGCAAACTGCTTGAGATCATTCATGCAACTTCTCAGCTTTGTGCTATTGATCAATTTATAATTACCAGATGTGGATGCAATAAACAATATGTAATTAATATGACTCTGTGTGTGTGTTCTTTGCTTGGTAATCAGAGTATATAATCGAGATTTGCCATCATATTGGTCAACAGTTTTGCAAGACCATTACTAAGAGCCTTACATTAATTCAATGTCCTGTTCCTCTGCACGTGCCTCCGTCGCCAGGCGCTGACCACCGGCACTGTGCCCGAGTTTTTGGACGTTCTGCGGAACTACGACGGCGGTGCGCTGGCGCAGGACAGCCTAGTGCACAGTCTGCGTCGTGCTGGTCGTCGCGTCGTCTTCTACGGCGACGATACGTGGACGCGGCTCTTCCCGGACGCGTTCCTGCGCCACGAGGGCACTCACTCGTTCTTCGTCAACGACTACACGGAGGTGGGCAGCTGCGAGCTGTGCGGCGGGGGCCGACTTCGACGCTGCCAGTCTGTGCAGGACACGGTCTCCGTATAGAAACATCTCTACAAAAATCCGCTGCGTCGGTGTTTTCGCATCGTCACGTCAAGGACAAAACAGACTACGGTCTGCCTCGATAGCTCATTTAGTGAACGCTCGCTTTTCGACCCGGCCACCCGTTGCAGAGTGGGTTCGAGTCAGTTTGGGCGCTTGCTATTTGCCTTTGACAGGTATGACCGGCGGCCGGAGGCAGTAGTTGTGCTGAAGGTCGGGTGTCGTCAGAGGGGAGGATGGGCCGTGCTGGTCATTGCTGCACGTTAAACTTCCGCCATCAGATTCTGCCGTTGACCTGGAATTGCACCATTGGGGGGGGGGGGGGGGGGCGGGATCAGGGCTCGCACAACATGCACCGCGTAGCGTTAGCTCCGACCCCATAGATCCATCCATTCAAAAGGTCCAAACTAAATATTCAAAAAACTATCAGCCTGGTCCACAGCGAGTGCTGTTGCACATCACACGTTACTGGACTTTGTCCTGCAGTAGACCTGATTTGACTGCCGGACCTTGTCTTGTAGAAGACCGGATTTGACCAGGCTGTGCGTGGTCCCAGGATGGCGACCTTGACTTGCCGTCTGACCTAGTGACCCAGGTCGGTGTATCCTAAGACCCCGAACATCATCATGACCCACTGACCGGCTCCAGGTGGACAACAACGTGACCCGCCACCTAAGCTCTGAGCTGGCGAGGGGCGACTGGGACCTGCTCATCCTGCACTACCTCGGCCTGGACCATATCGGACACCTGGCCGGTCCGGCCAGTCCGCTGATTGGTGCCAAGCTGGCCGAGATGAGTGACGTCATGGAGCAGCTGTATCACGGACTGACAGCCCGCACGGTGAGCGACGCTGCGGACCCGGGCCGTGAAGACCGGGAGGCTAGATCCGGCCGGTGAAAATCGGCGCGGGGTAGAGACGATGCGACTGTAGGCCTGGCCGGTGAAGATCGATGCGGGTTAGAGGCTGTAGGCCCGGCGGGTGAAGACCGGTACGGGGCGGAGGGTCCGACTCATTTCATTTTTGTCTAATTTTCGTAGTGTTGGGACCTTACTTTTATTCGCGTGATCATGGCTTGCGTTCCTCGCGCGCCGCGGCGTCCGGTTGCTTCGCCCGGCGCTCGTGGCCGCCGCGCGCGCCAGGGTGGCGTCGTCGCCGCGTTTGTGTTAGCCACTGAGTGCAAACACCCCGTTATCGAGTGTCAGTTTATAACACTCGGTGTCGTCCCGGTGTGCCTATCATATATGCGCTGGCTGCGGCCACTGGCTCACTATGCAACGGCCTCCTTTTCCCCATTACCTTTTCGACTTACGCCCAAAGTAAGTCGACTTTCAGTTCCACTTCACGTGTATCACCGTGCGTGCACCGACCAGTCTGCACCCGCCCTGCACCGTCTGACTGGGCGCCGGGCCGCCGCCAGACGGGCCCCCCGCCGGTGCTGGTGGTGTGCGGCGACCACGGCATGAGCGAGGCCGGCAGCCACGGCGGCGCCTCGGCGCCGGAGACGCGCGTGGCGCTCCACTTCGTCAGTCCGATGTACGCCGGCCGGCGGCAGGTGGGCGCAGACCGCTGGCCGCCGGGGCACCCGACGTGACGGCGGCGCTGGCCGCTGACGGGCGGTGGGCGCGGCCAGGCCGAAAACTGCCTTGTGGGTGTGTGCTGCTGTCAGGGGCGGGTGGATGGCTTCTGAGGGGTAAGTAGGGTTTTGTAAATTGCAACGAATTTAACGAACGGTAAAGAAGGTAAGCACGCTAGTTACGCTTTACCTATGAATATCGCGGTAATAGTTGCACGATGTTCCTGGGTTCTAAGAATGCTGCTCGGTTCTGACAGTTGTCTGTGCCTGTGAGCTAACTGTTCTCGCCGACCGTCACCTGGCGTTCTGTCCGCCTGTTCGGCGAAGTATCCGCGGCCGCCTGCTCGTCTGCACGTGACCGCGTCCCCGCTGGTCCTGCAGGCAGACCCGGGCCGCGAGGTGCACCAGGTGGACGTGGCGCCCACGTTGGCCGCGCTGCTCGGCGTCGCCACGCCGGCCGAGAGCGTCGGCCGCGTCATCGCTGACGTCATGGCGCCGCTGGACGGCCGCCGGCTGGCCCGCGCCCTGCTGGACAACGGACGGCAGCTGCTGACGCTGTATCAGGAGCAGCCGGAGCACACGGACTCGGGTGAGAGCAGACATGGCGGTCGGGCCCAGGCAGGGTGGCGGCCACTGGGAGCGATGGCCTTGCAGCAGCATTGTTTGAGACCCGCTCATTTGAAGAAAGGAACTTGTTCTCTATGTGTAATGAGCTTGGCTTGTTTCGCCACGTTAAGACGCTTAAAGCGTCGTACAGTGTTCATATGTTTGTGCACAAAGGCTGCGTTTCTGGTGACACCTGCAGTGGACACACACACATGGGTGTCAGATTGCACTGTCTCCTGTCCCTAGGGCAATTCTGTAATCCCAGCAGGCCGTAACCGGTTCGGCGCCGGCACCTTCGAAAAGTCCCTGTCCGCGACGCCCCCCCCCCCCTTGCTTGCGTCCATCCCCCATCAGCGACACCCCTTCGCGGCAGAGGTGGAGGCTGAGGTGCTGTCGGCGGCGGCGGCTACGCTGCTCCTGCCAGACGCTGACGACGACGCCGTCGAAAGGGCGGCGGCGGCCGCCGGTGGCGCCGCCCAGCGGATGCAGTCCAAACTGCTGTCGGTCACCGCCCGGCACGATGCTGTCTCCATGGCGCTGGGCATCCTGCTGCAGCTGACGGTGAGGGAACAGCACTCCCGGCGAGAGAGATGGTGAAGGTCACGTTTTGCTGTGAGTGATGAGGGACAGAGACAGCCCGTCCTCGGCTGAGCTCCTACACATCGGGCGCAGTCCCCTGTGACGTCACATTTAGCTATGGCACGGTTAAAGGGCTGGAAGTCGAAACCGTACAACCTGCGGTGACTGGGATGCCTGTGATATTGAGGTAACAATCTCAGGAACTCCGTGCACCATGCAGAACTGAGCTGTGGTGCTGCCGACGACCATTCGGCTGATTGGTGACCAGTTTGTTTGTTGTGGATGTGCCGGTAGCCTCGGCCATGGTAAGGAGACCGGTACCTCAGCGCGGTATCGCACCGCCTGATGACTGCTTCGACCTTTTCATTTGCTTTCGATGACGCGTATAATGCTCAGCCAAATGGACGGCTGCCGCTCCCACGCTGAGCTCATTTGCGGCTGGTGTTGGCGGGCCGTTGCCGCGTTACCGCCAGGGTCCGGGCGTCTGACCGACCGCCACCGCCGTGCCCGGGCAGACGCTGGTGCTGTCCTGCTGTCCGTCCGGCGCCGGGCGCCCGTCCGCGCCGCTCGCCGCCGGCTGCCTGTTCGGCTCTCTGGCCGGCCTGCTGCTGGTCTGCGGCCTCAGTCCGCACTGCCGGCTCTGCTCGGCCGCCGGCGTCGGCCCGGCCTTGCTGCTGGCTTCGGCGGCGGCGCTGTGTGCAGCGCACGCGGCCGCCGCCCGTCGCCCCGCGCCGCCGGTGAGTGCGCACCGGCTCGCCGCCGCCGCGCCGTCCATGGCCCCTGGTTCGCTCCATTCCGCCCGCGGGAGGATACGGCGTTGCTTGCTGGTAATGTTGCCGGGTGATGGTGGTGTGCGTGAGCATACTCGTGTCAATGCCTGACTTGTTTGGGCTGACGGGACCTGGTACTAACTTGTAGCGCTGACGGGACGCGTAACACCGACGTGTTGTGGTCTCAGCGCCTGTCGCCGCTGAGCTGGCTGCTGTGCGGCGGCTGCGTCCTGCACCTGGTCACCCTCGGCTCCAGCAGCTTCATCGAGGAGGAGCACCAGACCTGGTACTTCCTCAGCAGCACTGCCTGGCTCCTGCTGCTGGCCGCCGAGCTGCGCCGGCTGTGGCGGCGGCCCGAGCCGGGCGGGCGGCGGCGCGCGCGCCTCGCCGCCGCGCTCCTTCTCTCCGGCGGCTTGCTGCGCCGCTGGAACCAGACGGGTGACAAGTGGCTTCACCTGGCCGATCTGGGCGATTGGCTGACGGCGCCGGGCCGCGCCGCGCCGCTGACGGCCGTCTGGGCGGCGGCGCTGCTGCTGCTGGTGCGCGCTGAGCGGCCGCGGCTGGCCGCCGCCGCCGGCGCGCTCTGCCTCCTTCTGCACGGTCTGGGCGACGACCGTCTGCTGGCGGCCGGCTGGCTGCCGGCCGGCGCCCGGCTGTGGGCTGGCGCGCCTGCTGTACCTGCTGGCGGCGGCGCTGGCAGCGCGGCCGGACGCGGCGTGGCCGCTGGCCCGGCTGCGGCTGGCCTGGCTGCTGCTGGGCGCACTGCTGGTGCGGCCACACAACCTGCCCGTGTGGGCCGGCTGCGCGCTGCAGACGGCCGCCGCCGCCGCCTGGCTGCGCGCAGACGCGGCCCGGCCGCCCCCGCTCGCCGCCGCTCTGCTCCTGCACTACATCGGCATGGCCGGCTTCTTCTACATGGTAGGCGCCCCACATCACCCGGCAGGGGGCAGGACCGCGAGAGAGCGCTCGTCTCCCCGGGCGCTCACCCTGGGAGGCCAGGATTATGTTCGTTACTGCGCAGTGCATGCTTTTGGTGCGCAGGCACGGTGATGAGGGCCTTTGCTGCTCCTGAAGTTACCAGTTTTCCAGCACGGCCGACTTGGGTTTGTTTACCTCTGAATGTATTTACTAGGTCAAGGCCCTAATAAATTGAAAAAGTTGCACGTCTACCCAACGCTGAAATATATATATATATATATATATATATATATATATATATATATATATATATATATATATATGTGTGTGTGTGTGTGTGTGGTGTGCGTGTGGTGTGTGTGGTGTGTGTGTGTGTGTGTGTGTGTGTTGTGTGTGTGTGTGTGTGTGTGTGTGTGTGTGTGTGTGTGCGTGCGTGCGTGCGTGCGTGCGTGTGTGCGTGCGTGCGTGCGTGCGTGCGTGCGTGTGTGTATGTGTGGAATATGGAATATTCCGGGTGAATGCTCACGGAGCTCACCGGGTGATTCTTGAAGGTTTTTTCTGGTGGCTGTTGGCTTGTGCGCTGTATGGAGTGGTAGAAAGTTCTCATCTCTCAAGTTCAAGTTCTCATCGGAGTCTAGTGTCCAGCAGACGTTTCGGCCATAGGCCCTCTTTAATGTTGTCGGCGCCGAAGAGCGCTTATAGTCGGAACGTCTCCTGGTCCCGTTTTTTTATTAGAGCTGCCCACCGCCCTAAGCGGTGAACAGGCCAACAGCCATTGGGAAGACCTGGGTTATCCACCATTAAATGCTTAAGGATTTGATCGTTAGAACAGCGTTTGAGCGGCGTAAGGGTCAGAATTACCTCTGAACTTGGTTTATGTGGGGACCTCGATGCCGTCTCCCTTTAGGTCCGAATTGTGACATAGCGTTGCTTCAGCTTGCTAACTATACAGTAACTACTGGAGGGTTCACGGCGTGGACGTCTGGAGTAATGTTGCCCTGCTTGTGGGAGAAATTCGCTGCCTTCGGTTGGATTCGAACGCACTCATTTGGCAGCCGTTACTCGTTGCTTTTCGTTGATGTAACTGACGGTTTCTTGTGGCCATTAGCCCACTCAATGACTCCCCTATATTCATTATGGAGCCGCCGAATAAGTGACAATCAGCATTCCGACCTGTGATTGTACGCATTGCGGTGTATCTCAACACGGTCAGCAGTGTAGCCCGAGGCAACGTTCTCCCGGCCGCTGCCGCCTATCAGCTCGCTGTGCCCACTCTCCCAGTCCTTGGCCCGTTTTAACCATGCCGCGTGCTGTGCTGCCCAGGGCAACTCCAACAGTCTGGCCAGCGTGGACATAGCGGCGGGCTACGTGGGCGTGGCCAGCCACCGGCCGACAGTGGCTGTGCTGCTTACCGCCTGTCACACGTACGCCGCTCCCGTCCTGGCCACGCTCACCGCCCTCCAGCTCGCCCACCGGCACAGGTGAGCTGGCGGCGCCACGGGGCAGGTCACAGCGGTAACGCCAGGTCACGGGCTGGCGGCGCCACGGGGCAGGTCACAGCGGTAACGCCAGGTCGCGGGCTGGCGGCGGCACGGGGCAGGTCACAGCGGTAACGCCAGGTCGCGGACTGGCGACGGCACGGGGCAAGTCACGTGCTGGCGGCGGCACGGGGCAGGTCACAGCGGTAACGCCAGGTCGCGGACTGGCGACGGCACGGGGCAAGCTACGGGCTGGCGGCGGCACGGGGCAGGCCACGGCGGCAACGCCAGGTCACGGACTGTTCGACCACGGTCGTGTGTGGGCTGGCTTCGCTTCGAGCGGGGCTACCGTTGCAGTGTTTCTTCATCACGCGTTCGAATCGGCGTAAGATAATGATCACGATGACCAGACGAGTTGAATGCAACCCGAAAGAACCTAATTCGTCAAAGCAGTTTACAGGTTCGGACGTGAGGTTACAGCTGTCCATATCAGATCAAAGCATTGCAGGTAGAACCGGAAACACATAAACTGTTTCAGGACAGAACGTTCTCATTTTTCCTTGTGCACAGTGTGGTATCTCGTGTGTTTGTATGACATTAGTACGCACTGTTTCATCTGCGCAGAACGAAGAACGGCGATTTTTCGTGTTGATAAATCCTCGTGTCGCAGGCTTGGTGCCCGCAACTTCGTGTATACAATTCTCATTCTCATAAAGAATTGTGTGTATCGTATAGGTCGGTATGCACATTTCTTCGTAGAGCGTTTCGTTGTCTGCGCCATTTTCTCGCATTTATGCAAGCAATTAGTCGTAATTTTGTTTTAAACATCTTCGCAGGCGCATGGCGGCATAGTTCGAACCCGGTTCTTGCCATCATGCGGAAGGGAAAGTTCCAGTCATGGGCTTGGTCATATATATTTCCCCGCTGACCGTTGGAGAGTGGGTTTGACAGGGAACCAACCATGCGATGGCAGAGTTGGGTGATGACACTTGAAATAATAATATATGTCAGGTTACTTGACGGCGGTCATGTTACAGCTTGTAGGGGACCTTTTCCACGTCTGAAACTAATGCAGATGTGCCATTGTTTCGTCTTTTTGTATGCTCTGTAGCGTTTGAATGTTAATGATCTTATGATTTTATGACCTTGATCTTATCAATGAATTAACTTTTTTGGTTTCTGAATAATACGTAGCTTTGCAGTTTCATATGTCACAATATCTGGAATGCGATGAATCCAAGAGGTGAGAGCAGATCAGAGGCAGTGTTTCGCATTCCCAAGCTGACGTGATCAGTTCCAAGCATCAATTGCGCCGAGCCGCGCACTCGTGGTATTTGCATCGACCCAGACAGACTTCGCAGAATCCTCTCCAGCCCGCGGCAGATGTGCTGGAAACTGTTGAATGCGGCAGCCGGATGTGTGGATAGTGCGGCGTCCGGAACGCGAATCCGCATGCTCGCCACACATTGGCCAGCGTTGCACGCTTTACCTGCTGAGCGACAAGGGCGGGAGTATCAGCCCCGAGTCGTACTGTGCGCAAGTTCAACATCATGGGGAAATAGACTGGCCACGTTATGTACGAGAATATATGCCATAGAAACAACGAGAGAGAGGGACTACGGGGAATGAACAATGGAATAACAGGATTAGGGGATGTCGGCGCCGCTTCTCTAAACTTTGGTGTATTTGGCAAGGTGAATTTGATAAAAATAATTGCATGCAGGAAGAAATGCGGTGCGAATGACCGCACGCGGAGAAGTGTGTGCGTGAAAGAATGCCGTGCGAAGCGCGGTTTCTCTGTGAAATGCGATCAATGGAAAGACGCGAATGGATTCATTCATTGCGAAGAATTCCATCAACGGATGGATGCGGATGCGGATATGAACTTTCGCGAATACGAAGCTTTACGGTTACGAAAACTTGCGTGCAAAGATTCTCTTACGAAGGTCTCTGAACCGAGATTTACGTTCGAAATTTGGCGTACGAAGAATTTGACAGGCAGATTCGCGTACAGCGATTTTTGCGATGGATGATGGCATAAAGAAATTCGATGCGAATGTTTGTCCTGCCTCGTTTCAAACCAGTGGGGAGCTCGATGATTACATTCTGGTGAAGCTTTGGTGATTTACGTACATAAAGGGGGGACCGACGCAAACATCGGTAGCCAAGGGGCCCTGAAATATGCAATGCTGCAGCCGCGGTTCCAGGCTCGGTCCCGTTACTGCTTCTCAGGCAGAGAACATGTTGTGTAGGTCATAATAGTCTGCTGCACAGCTTAATCACTACAGCCACAGCTTAAGCCAAGCGATGTGGGTCGAGTCGCAGCAGATGAGATCCTCACGAGGTGCGACGCATGGCCTAAGCTGAGACGCCTGATCATTCACTGACGGCTGCACCGCTACGCAACTGCTACCAGATCCAACCGATCCAACCGGTTCCAACCGATCTAATCCCAAGCCAACGGCCGCAATCTCCGCGATGACCGCGCTTGCACCACATCGCTCACTGCGTAATTGCCCGTAAATGTTGCGCGCGTGCATCAACACATGCCTGGCCGCAGGGCTGATGGTGGACGACGGCTTATGGAAGGCCTCCCAATTTGGGGGCCGACAGCCCTTTTTAGTTATTTCTTTCCAGTCATCGATCATGTGAAATGTGAAACCGATGTGAAATTACCAGCAAATTGGTGAGGGGCTCTGCCCCTCCCCCCCCCCCCCCCACCCCCACCCGCAGTTCCTGCGCCTTCCTGGAGGACGGGTAGCTTCTGAGTCAGCGGAAGTAACTTTTCGGTTTTTCAGGTCGGTGTGAAATTAACGGTGATTGAGATTCCAACTTAGACCGTTCTCCTTGTACCGCCCCCACTGCCGGCCTGCTCGTCCTCGTCTCCGACCGTCGTGGCGTCCCTGTCGCCGCGATCAGGGCGTCCTCACAAGGAGCCCGATGTCCTGCCGCTGATCGTTTGACTGCGGGCGGCACCCGGTCCTCCGGTGTCCGACCCATGACGCCCCCCCCCCCCCCCCCCCCCCCGCTGCTGACAGATGTTTCCCGGACGTGCTGCACGTGCTGGTGACGCTCCGCGGCGCTGTCCTCCTAGTCTACTGCTGCCTGTCGGCCGCCTTCGTGCACCACATCTTCGTGTGGACCGTGTTCTCGCCCAAGCTGTTGTACGAGGCAATGTGGACGGCGGTGATGACCGCGGTGGCTTGTGTCGCATCTGGCGCCGTCTGGTGGACGCGACGGAAGCTGTGATCCCGTGGCCGACCGTCATGCCATTCGCGGTTGGTGCGGCTGTGATGTTTCTGTGCCTTTTAATAAATTAAAAATTATACGGAGCCAGCTCTCACGGCCCTATGACCGGCTTCAGCCGTAGGTATGCTACGCATTCATTGGCTCCAGACGCATCATCAGTGCGCTTCACGTCGGATTAATTTCAAAGGGTAGAGAGGGGGGACGGTGAACATGCGAATACCGACAAAAGTTGGTTGTGCATTGGGCTGGGTGGATCCGAACACACTTGGATTCCAGGAGTAGGGTGCCGGTAGTGTAGTGGTTAGCGCGTCTGCGTTAGCTACTGCGCGTCTGGGAAACCAGAGGTACGGGGTTCGATTCCCCGCGGTGCCCTCCCTTCCTGCCAGGGTGAGAGGCAGGCGACGCCATATAGCCTCAGCAGCTGAGTGCGTCGTAAAGCCCCAATGACACACACACACGGATTCCAGGAGTGGCGTTGCAGACACCTGACAATGGCGTCGCATTTGACAATGGCCACCCCAACGAAGCCAACGGCTCATCACCTTGGAATGCGACGAGGGAACAACCCGACGCGTCGCGCTTCTGCCACGCTTTTCCAGCGAGTTCGATGATGTCCCACCGTACACCTGCTGCGGGAGCCGGAAGCCGACAGGCGCGGTGCGTCGGTGTGACAGCGCCGGTCCGCCGCTGGCGAGCCCCGCGGGCCACGTGACGGCGCCAGTCCGCTGCTGGCGAGCCCCGCGGGCCGCTCGAACATCTCCGCCAGAGAGGCGACCACTGGACGCGGCCGAGGCGGAGGTGCATCACCCGACGCCGGACAACTTGCACGGACTTTTTCTGCGGGACTATCCGAGCAGGACTCAGAAGGCAGCAATCTTTGCACGGCACGCCCGGCGTTGCGATATGTATTAACGTCCTACATGTGCTGTCGTGGATCGCCGCACCATCCTACATGTGCTGTCCGTGGATCGCCGCACCATCCTACATGTGCTGTCGTGGATCGCCGCCCCGCCGCACCATCCTACATGTGCTGTCGTGGATCGCCGCACCATCCTACATGTGCTGTCGTGGATCGCCGCACCACTACATGTGCTGTCGTGGATCGCCGCACCATCCTACATGTGCTGTCGTGGATCGCCGCACCGTCCTACATGTGCTGTCGTGGATCGCCGCACCGTCCTACATGTGCTGTCGTGGATCGCCGCACCATCCTACATGTGCTGTCGTGGATCGCCGCACCGTCCTACATGTGCTGTCGTGGATCGCCGCACCATCCTACATGTGCTGTCGTGGATCGCCGCACCGTCCTACATGTGCTGTCGTGGATCGCCGCACCGTCCTACATGTGCTGTCGTGGATCGCCGCACCATCTACATGTGCTGTGGATCGCCGCACCGTCCTACATGTGCTGTGGATCGCCGCACCGTCCTACATGTGCTGTCGTGGATCGCCGCACCATCCTGCATGTGCTGTCGTGGATCGCCGCACCGTCCTACATGTGCTGTCGTGGATCGCCGCACCGTCCTACATGTGCTGTCGTGGATCGCACGCCACCATCTTACATGTGCTGTGGATCGCCGCACCGTCCTACATGTGCCGTCGTGGATCGCCGCACCGTCCTACATGTGCTGTCGTGGATCGCCGCACCATCCTGCATGTGCTGTCGTGGATCGCCGCACCGTCCTACATGTGCTGTCGTGGATCGCCGCACCAGTCCTACATGTGCTGTCGTGGATCGCCGCACCGTCCCTACATGTGCTGTCGTGGATCGCCGCACCGTCCTACATGTGCTGTCGTGGATCGCCGCACCATCTTACATGTGCTGTGGATCGCCGCACCGTCCTACATGTGCTGTGGATCGCCGTACCGTCCTACATGTGCTGTCGTGGATCTGCTGTCGTGGATCGCCGCACTGTCCTACATGTGCTGTCGTGGATCGCCGCACCGTCCTACATGTGCTGTCGTGGATCGCCGCACCGTCCTACATGTGATGTGGATCGCCGCACCATCCTACATGTGCTGCCGTGGATCGCCGCACCATCCCACATATGCTGTCGTGGATCGCCGCACCGTCCCACATATGCTGTCGTGGATCGCCGCACCGTCCTACATACGCTGTTGTGGATCGTCGCACCACTCGACCGATAGTAAAATATATTGCCAGAATGAAAATGAGACGGGTTAAACAGGCATAGCAGCAGGAAAACGACCGACAGTCTACGAACACTGCCTTACTGCGCCACCACAGCTCCGGCGCCGGCCCTCGGGCAAACCGAACGAAACTGGCCTGCCTTACGTTCCCCTCCCAATGGGCAACTGAGCCATTAACAGTTGGTCTCCTTGTGAGAAAAAAAAAACGGGATAACCCGGGGAAAGGCGGACAGCAAAGCGCTTTGCGCACTGACCAACTGAAACCAGACCTACCTAGGATATTGTATTCATTCATGTCGTCTCCATATATGGCAATTGGATACACAGCTCAAAGAAATCATATACGTAATGACCGGGCGGTGGCTGGCATCACACGTGGCCCCGGCGGCGGGCGGGTCGCCCGGGCCTGACCCGCCCCCCCCCCCCTCGATCCCCAATCACAGAGGCCCGGCGGCCGCTCGCTTAGACAAGAACCTTACACGGTACAAACGGGCCGGCGGCGCCCAGCCACCTGTATAAAATAGCCGGCCGCGCCGCCGCCGACTTCGCTGGCGTACGCCCGATGCGGGTTCGCAGCAGCTGATATATATATGCGTGTGTGTATGCGTATGTGCGCCCGCGTGTCGTGCGACGGTGCGCACGTTCCCCGCTAAAAGGTCGACCCCACACGGCATTGCACCTCGGCCGCGGCCGGGGTCGCCGCCCGTCGTCCGCCCCTGCTCACCGACTAGGGCCGCGCGCGCGCCAAAACAATGAAAGCACGATAGTTAAGTGGTTGGAAACTATCTACCAGTAACAATGTCGACCGGTTCGGCTCGGCACAGTTCGGTTCGGTTCGGACCAAGACCAGACCAGACCAGACCAGACCAGACCAGACCAGACCGGACCGGACCGGACCGGACCGGACCGGACCGGACCGGACCGGACCGGACCGGACCGGACCGGACCGGACCGGACGGACCGGACCGGACCGGACCGGACCAAATCAGACGGAACCGGAGTGAACCAGACCGAATCGGACTGAATCAAGCCGAACCGGACTGAACCAGACCGGACGGCCAAGACCCGGCGCGCACGAGCGCCTACGCTATCAAGTTCCACAATACCCTGAGATAGAAAACAAACAGAACTAGAGCGGCGCGCCGGGCCGGCGCTCTCAGCCGTCGTCCGGCGGCGGGCGGCGCAGCTGGTCCAGCAGCTCGCGACGCAGCCGCTCGCGCTCCTCCTCCTGCTGGCGCAGCAGCTCCGTCATGCGCTGTCGCTGCCTGCCGGCGGGGCGGCGGCGGAGCGTCACGGGACGCGGAGCGGTGCAGCGGAACGGGGCGCGGCTCACGGAGGGAGCGACACGGGGGGGGGGGGGTACACTACGGAGGAGCGC